TTTTTTTTTTTTTTTTTTTGTCTCCTCTAAGATCAATCAAGACTAGAAACTTCTAGGCATGATGGTTCAGGAAACCAAGGTTTCTGGAGAAGAGAATAGGGTGCTCAAGGTAACTGCCTGTGATCTACAGAACCATGGGTCAATGCAGTCATGTCTATGTGAGATATATTCCAAGATCCCTCATGCATACTGGAAGCTACCAATCATATACATATTAAAATTGAGGTCTTTCACCTTTCCTCTTAAAGAAAGTATGGTACAGCTTCTCCTTGGCTTATCCAGAGTGGCTGTTTCACTACTCTTGCACTTTCAGGCCCATTATTAAATAAAAGAAGAGTTACTTCAGCAAAGCACAACAATACCATGACAGTTGATCTGACAACTGAGACCACTGCTCAGAGACCAAAACGTGGGTAGCAGACACAGCACACACATGCTGGGAAAGAGATGATTTGTGTCCTGGGAAGAATGGAGTGAGGCTGTGTAAGGCTGCTCCCTTAGAACAGCATACAACTTTAAACTTGGGAATGATTCATTTCTGCAATTGTCTATTTATTTCTACTTCTAATATATCCAGACCACGGTTGACAAATGGGCAGCCGAAATCTCAGAAAGCAAAACCATGGAGAAAGGAAGACTACTACAGTTCTTGTACCTTCTCTGAAAGAATTAGTGGCCTACTTCCTTGGAGTCATCTGGCATGGAACTAGGTGTCCTCTGTGTGTTACAGGTTCTAAAGTCACTCATTTGGACCCATTTATATGTTGGTGGGGAACCTTAAACTACATAGATAAAACTATATTCACTATTATCTTCTCTAAAAATATACACATACATCTATTTCCACTCATTCTTAATCTCGGCAAATAGTTCCCAAGCCAGAATCTTTAAATTCCTGTCATTCCTCCCCAAGTCTCCAATTAAATCACCAACTTTGTACTCTATCCTCCAAGTCTTCCTAGAAAAAGACCTCTCCTTCCACCCCTTCCAACTCACCCTGCGCTGCAGATTTTGTCTCATCTCCGTAGGAAACCTCAGCAGCAGGCCTTCTTGCCTCTCCAACTCCCAGCACAGCTTTGGTTTCATTGGTGCAAATTAATTATGTCTTGTCTCAATAAGCTTTAGAAGTAAATCAAAAATTTCAAGTTCTTTGAAAGAAAAAATGCTATGCAGCTCAGAAACATACTCCCACAATGTAAATCATATGTCACAATCCTGTTTAAAAGCCTTTGTCTCATTGTGATGCCTATGGAATAACAGTGCCACTTTATAAATTGATATTTCAAGATCCTTCACATTCTGACACCAGCCTCAAGTGCTTCCACCCCTCCAGCAGGGTCTCCAGCCTTCCCTTACTCGCTGTTCAGGAAATGTACTCTTGGTCATACTTTGCTTTATTTATTTTGGTTGTACTTTTATACAGCTTTTCTGGGAGGGGTCTTTTGAGAATGTTCCTCACTCTACTTCCAACCTCGATAGCTTCTTCTGCAATAATAAAAATATGTCATTCACACCATTATTTTAGTGATTAAATAATATTTCATAATTCAGTTTCTGGGTGTATTTCTTTCATTTTTTTTTAAGTCTACCTCCTCTTGCCATAATATAAAATACATGATAGCAGGAGCTTGGAAAATGTTTTCCACTTCTCTCTTGTGTAAGCCACTATTATTCTGAGACTCACAAAGCAATAGGATATGTATTGTAGTACAAGTAGAGAGATTTAATTCCAAATTGTGCAGAAAGCTGTTTGTCCTATCAGTGAACTCTTATTTAAAACAGAGTCTCTGTTTTATACTCTGGTAAAGCAATGAATCCAACAGCTCTCCCTTTTGGTTCTTCCTAATAATGAAACTGATGAATTTAAATAGGACCCTTACTTTTGTGTAACTTTTACACATTTCAGTTGATGAAACCTTGTTCGGTTTTTCCAATTCATACCAGGCAATGTTTACTTTAAAAAATAAAATAATATTTTTCTGGTAGTAAACTTCTGCAGAAACAAGTTGATGCTACTAAAATTGCTTCCAAACTGAAGAAACTGAAGTCTTGTACATAAGACTTATCTAAGAGATGGCATTGCCGAGTGTGGGATCATACCTGTGATCCAGCACTCAGAAGGCTGAGACAGGGGGATCACCCAGAGTTTGAGGCCAGCATGGGCTATGTATTAGACTCTGTCTCAAAAAAACCAAAATAAATAATAATAAAATCATATTAAAGTCTTCTTTTAAAAAAGAGACAGTGTTGATCTATAAAATAATTTAAGATTTAAATATGTCTTTTATAACTGGGAAATAATGGCTTATAAGTTTGATGAGAATTTTCACAAGCACCACTAATTATTGACATGTAGGCATTAATTGTATTTGTTATTGAGAATACTGATTAAAGTATTTTGTGAAGGGCAATAAGTATTATAAGTAAGCCAGTTAGACTAAAACATATCTTTGAGTCTTAGACTTTGGAGTTGGGTTATTTCCTGCAGCAGAAATACAGATATTTTTAAGTTACCATTGAGAGGAAATTGTATTCTTTCTTCCTGACCCCTAGTCTCCCTCCTGAAAAGTCCTAGTTTATGCAGAAAATGATGATATTGCCAAAGCAGCTACCACAGGGAAATTATGGTCTAGGCTGCTCAAGTGCCAGAAAAACGGTGAAATAATTTTATATGCCCTGATTTATTTCTAAATATTTTTCCCAAAATGGAGCATATTATGGAAATAAATATAGAACATTTTTACAGTCTAGTGTGTGGCAAAAATCCACTGAAATTTCGCTAAAACCGCTCTCTGGGGGCTGGGGATTTAGCTCAGTGGTTCCACCGCCTGCCTCGCAAGAGCAAGGTTCCAAGTTTGATCCCCGGTACCAAAAACAAATTAAAAAAAGCAAACAAACAAATGCTCACTGGACACTTAACTGTTGAATGTCTGCTATGTCACAGACCCTGTTCTAGGCAGCGGACCACAGATCCCAGGAATGAATCCCACTCTCAGCCTTTGAGGTTCGCGCAAAGTATGTAATACTGTTTCAAAGTTGACATTAAGCACTGGAATATATTATGAGAGCTACTCCTTCGTCTTTTACCTGCTTCCTAGAGTACACGTTTTGTCTCTTCCATTATGATAACAGGTTTTGATCCCAGTGTAACTGAAATATTCTCAATTTGTTTGCTGAGAGAAGGTAAATAGGTTTCACTTAATCCACTGATCAAAATATGCAGCTGGCTACATCAACCTGGTATTTAACCTCATCTTCAACTGGACTGGGACTCTGATTTCTATCTTGCTTAAAACAGATTTGAACGTCTTTAAATATATCATCTTATTTAGCTTTCTGAGACTAAAATGGAAAACACAGTTGAGCTGAACTCTCTGGGGAATCCTGAGCTGAGGCTTTAGTTTCGAGAACCACATTAAGGAGAGGAATTCCCCTGCCAGGCTCCGGACGGGCCCCCTTCAGCCACTTCGGAAATGGCTCCTGACCCTTTCCCAGATGATGCGGATTGGGCCTAGACCTCTAAAATATCTCCACATATTTTTTCTTTTATTGATAATCTCTTCTTTTATAATCTATTTGAGATGCTTGGTGTGTTTAACCATTAAAAACTCACTACAGAACAGGGCCCATGCTAGTGGACATTAACTCTGACGCAGGTTTCTAACTGGTGCTGACTTTGCATTTAGGTGTCCTATTGCTTTCTGTTCTTTCCCTTGTTTTGCTAAAACTCTGGCTGGGGTTGGTTACAGTTGCATCAAACTCCTTCTTACTGTGGGTTAGCTCTGCTGCTCATCTTGTCTTGATTCAAATTTTTGCTGTTTTCTTACTTGTGGATTCTTTTGTATTAATTTTTTAAAAACATTAAAATAGCATGAAGATATCACTCGCCTTCATTGCTGCATTGTTTAGCACCCACTGAATCTTACACCTAAGGAGAGTATAAATTCCCATTGCCCTAGTCCCGGACCTGATCATAACTTCCCTGTGTGTCAGTGGCTCTCACCACCAAGTACTGTATTTACTTCTAATTCACACTACACTTAGGTTGCATATCAGCCGCAACTCTCTGGGCTCAGCTGGTCTCCGCTCAACCTGGCTCCCTTGTCCTCTCTTTCTATAACTCAGGATGAAGGAATAGGTGTTCACTGGGGTATTCCAGACTCATGCCGGAGGGTCAGGACATGAAGAGAAATGACTGACACATTCTAGGAGGGATCACACCCGATCTTAAAACTTCTGTCCAGAAATGATGCCTCATCAATACTATTCATGTTCCAGTGGCCAAAGCAGTCACGGGGCCAAACCTGAGCTGCAAGGGATAGAGGTATACAGTGTCTTCTGAAAGAGAGAAAATAGTGGGATGAACAGTTCAGTTTATAACACTGTATCGGAGGGCTGCGGACTTAGCTCAGTGGCTCCGCCGCCAGCCTCGTGAGCACCAGGTCCCAAATTCGATCCCGGTACCAAAAAACGGAACAAAACAAAACAAAAAAACACTGTATTTGGCTGAAACTTGAACTCTAGAAGACAGAGCACTGAAGTCCTAGAAGCTAGGCAAAAACACTCTGAGCTCATGGCAGGGTTACCCTCACTGGGCCCCTTTAGCTGGGTCTAGCTACGAGACGTAGACCAGGTGATGTGCTCCTCGAAGGCAGAAGTTTAATAAGAGTTAGCATGCAGTTTACCTCATTCACTTTTTCCATCTGTGCCGGTTATGGGAACTAGGTCAAGGGAGACCTCAGTCAGCCTCCAGAATAATGAACAGACAGCCCTGACAAGGTGCACAGAGTGAGGAGGATCCAGTAAACAGGCCACTACTGTTGTGAAGTCTCTGCGATTCAAAGGCTGTTTGTTATCAAACAGCACAATTTAGCTTATCCTGACCAAACATTTGGCTTTCGGGGATGGTTCTCTTGTGAGTATCTGGCACTGGCATTTTTAGAAAACAAAAGAGAACCACTCTTTTCTGATAAGGAATGCAATGATTCTAATACTGAGTGAAAGTCAGATAAGAAACAACAGGTTTACATGCTGACAAAGTATCTCCTCATCGTATTCTTATTAATTACAAAGGGGGAAAAAAAGAAGCTTATAGGTAAGAAATCTGAGAGACACCAGCTTACCAAATGACCAATATATCATCAGTAATAACATATATATAGATAGATAGATATAGATACAGATGTCTCCTAATAGAAAGGTACATCATTTCTATAACAATCCAGACAAAAATTTTAGGGCAGAAATCTAATCCTGAAAAACACTAGAAAGAACCAAATTAAAGAACATTATAACTATCAGAGTCAAGAGCAGCCAGGATACAAATGAGTAAGAAGTATTTATGGAAACTCACGTGGATCAGATACTGCGTGTGACCGGGACTGATGTCCCACTGAACAAATGGTTCAGAGGTATCTCCCCCTATTGGAAAAATGAGTTTAAGCTACACCTCACAACATACACAAAATAAATTCCAGGGGAATTAAAGGTAAACATCTGCTAAGCCAAAGCATAAGCTACAAAGCCTTTAAGATATATAAGGCAAAATAACTTTATTACTTTGGACTGGGGAGAAGTTTCTTCTGAAATACACAAGGTGCAGAAGCCATGAGAGGAAAAGCTGATACGCTTGACAACATCAAAATGCACTATAAGAAGAGAAGAAAAAGCCAGCCACAGATACAGTTATAGAGAGACCATAATTCACAAAGAATTGGGATTGAAGAATACATGACTGTGATTCTAAAAGGAGAAAAACCAACCTAATAGAAAAATGAACAAAAGAAATTACTTACAGCCCAGAAGAAAAAGATAATAGAGGGTGGGAAGGGAGGGCAGGGACAAGGGGAAAAATGAGAACCAAGCCCTGTCATGTAAAGGTACAAGATCCCAATGATGAATGTACCTGTACTGTATACCTAAAATGTACCAATAAACTCAATGAGGAAAAAAAAAAAATTGGTCAAAAGTTAAAAAAAAAAAAAAAAAAGAAAAGAAAAGAAAAGATAATGGCCACAAATGTCAGTAGTAATCAGGAGTCTTTAATGACTGACAGGTCTACACATTGTGCCTGAGTTTGTCACCCAGAAGACCCTGAATTCAGACCACAAAGTCAGGCCCCGACAATACCCTGCTTCTTGCTACAAATTAATAATCTGAAAATACAATTTTTTCCTTAAGAAGTACAAAGTGGTATAAATTTCAATAAAAAAGAGAAGGAGGAGAAGAAGAAGAAACATTAAACTGGAAAGAAAACTCTGAGCCAAATATTTGCTTTTATGGAGCAAAAAAGGGAAATTTTACAATTCGGTACTTGTGTTACAGTAAAAGTACAAGCACCTCAGGATTATATTTCCCCTTTGTACTGAAGCATCTGACTCATGTTCAGGAAGTTTTCATTCATCCCAAATGTGTGTCTTCAAGGTGATTACAAACAAAATCAATTATTTCCTTTTGCAGACAGAAGCAGAGGAAATTGGCAGTGA